AGAGAAAAAAAATTTACTGTCCGTAGCATTTACTTTTTTTTTCTAAAGTGCTCAAAAGTAGAGGAATATTTATTATTATATCTTTATTAAAAGTTATAAAAAAGGAATTTTTGAAATGTTAATAAAAGCTTTCGTTTTCAATACTATTATTTTAATGATAGTATTGAAACATAAAAGCATAAATGTTTGAAATGGTTTTTTATTATAATCTTAATATATATTTGGAAGAGGTTAGGTAACGAGAGAAAATTGTATGTTAAAAGAAGAGGCAAAATGCTGGATATTTCCACATTTATTTAAAGGAATTAATATTTGTTATGTTTTTCGATGTTAAACATTCAAGTGTTAGTGATTTCAAATGTCTTCCTTGGACTGGCAAAAAAGTCCTGCGTGAAAAAATAAAGCAATTAAGAATGGTCCGAAAAACATATTTAGATATCTATATTTTATCTTTTAAAACCCTTGTTTGTTCTTAAATCTATTTAAATTTTTATGTTTTGTCAGCATGCACAAGCGTATATTTCTCTCCATACATACATACTGTCTTATTAATAAAGGAATTAGTATAGTCATAAATTTTTTATATCATGTTTTATTTATTCCAAAATTTTAATTATTACAGATTGTTTCCGGTCTCGTGACCTTCATTTAATTTTAAAGAATGGATATTTATGATAACATTAAAAGGAAATATTTTTCTTATGTTTTTTATATTTAAATATTCTCAATATTAGACATTTTTTTTTAGTTTAATTAGTGATCCAAATTCCTGTCCTTGAACTGCCCAAAAAAAAAAATGAATGTCTAAGAAAAATTATTTTTTTAAAATTAATGGAAATATCCATTCTTTGCCTGATGAAAAAAAAATTATTTTAAATAAAACGGAATAATATTTTTTTTTTTTTTAAATATTAAAACAAAAACGTTTTTTTCTATTCTTTATTATTATAAAATAAATATTAATATTGTTATTGAATTTATAAATATAGGTAAACAGAGGATTGTTATTTTTATTAGATTTTAAACTATATTTATTACATCTCCCGGCCTGTGCATTCAATTTTGCAAAAAAAAAAATTGTGCCTGCCAAAGGGATCACTTATGCGTAAATCTTAATGGAGAAAATACCGTTCTGGTGTTATAAAACTCGGCTAATTAGCATCTCGGTTCAAACATTTTCTAAATTATGAAAAATGAAATTGAAGCATATTTCTTCATTCAGATAAAAAAAACTGTTCGAAAAACCCATATCTGCTCAGTTTTGTACCCGAAACGTAAACAAAATCAATTTCTTAAGAATGAATGGATCTTATTTTTTCATTAAAATTTTCTTAAAATCAGAAAAAAAAAACTTTTTTATTTAAGAAATTGCTTTTTTTTTCATTTTTATATACTGGGGATAACATAATGTACAAATTAAAATAAACATTAAAATGAGAAATTGATTTTTTCCAAATGATGTCGATTTTTTAAAAATAACATTTGATGTAATGATATATATATATATATATATGTTTTTTGATTGGTCATTTCAGCTCATGTAACAGCGTTTCAGTTTATTTTGCTTTTTTAAAATTTGATTTGAACATTTTAAAACCTTTATTCTTTGATCTAAATTTTGTCATCACTTGAAAAGACATTCAGAGGTATTTTGTAAAAGAAATAAAATTTTATTTTTAAAATATTTTTAACATATTTATTTTAAATTTTTCAATTTTTATATATATATATATATATATATATATATATATATATATATATATATATATTATATTATTATAAATGGAAATAAATAAATATAAAAAACAAGAATGAAGGAATTTTTTAAAAAAAACAAAAAAAATTTTCAAAATTCTTAAAATGAAAAAAAAAATATTTTTCTTAATTTTTCAGTTTTCAATAATTTTTTAAAAATATTCATCAAAATACAATTCAAGTTTTTTGTTCCATTTTGTAAAACAATATTTCACTGAATTGTGAAAATGAATGATTTCTGAAAGGTTTATTAAACTTTAAATATCAGAACGAAAATTTTCATTTTAAAACATTTAAAATTTTGTTTGATTTTTTTATTTTCCAAAATGATATATATATATATATATATATATATTTTGAAATAGTGAAATTTAAATTCATATCAATTTCGTCTAAATTACATGAAAAATGAAAATAATACCAATATCTCATTTTAACAGATATATTTATTAAAATTAATGATAAACATCTTTTCTAGTAAAAATATAAATTTATTTAAATCAAATCGGCATAATTTATAAATGGTTTAAAAATGAATATAGGTAATTTAATAATAAATTTACTAATTGGTTTTTGATCTCATTGTTTAAATTTTAAAGCTGCCAACAACAGTTGCATTTATTCATCTTTAAATTTAAAAACGAAATTTGTTGATATCTCTTTTATTTAATGATACCCTCTATTTAATATATATTCATCAAAATCTATCAATTTATTTTGCCAGATATAAATAATCTATGTATTTTGTAGAAAAATTTTAAAACAGATTGTTTTGATAAAATTTTCCTGAAACTTGTTTGGCAGCTTGAAAGAGTTATTAAATTATTCAAAAACCCTCATTTTTAAATAACAGCAATTATAATCCTTTAAGGCTATCATTAGAATTGTATTTTATAAATTAATGTGTCTGAGATTCTGAAAAACAAAAAAAACATGAGTTAATTTTAATTTGTCATAACATTCTTTGTTCATAATCAAAATTAGACTCATCTTCATTTCAAATCTTGAACTGTCCTCAGAAACACCCAAATACTCTGAAATGTTCCATTGGATATTTCATGTTAATGCCAATTTCATACAGCTTGATGTTTCCAAATTTCTTGCCAATTGAATTGCATCATGAGGCTCATTTTTTTATTTTTTCCCAACTTTCCTAAATTTTTTATTGACAAAATAAAAAAAAAAAATTTAAAAAAGATCGCACTAAAAATTAAAATGGTGACAAAATATACCCAGAATTTCTGGATTTTCAAAGAATTCCCAGAAATTCCCGAATCAAAAATTCCTCTTGGCTGAGAAAAATTTATGTATTTTTAATATCAGCGCTACGGTCGATTTTAAAGCCATCAAAGATTATTCAAATAATTCAGCCTTTATGATTTTAAATTATTTAATTCTTTCACCAAAGGAATGGATTTTTCCAAGCATGTCGCTAATAACATCTCGCGGAATCAAATGAAGTGTATCTATTTATATATATATCTTTTATAATAAAAATAGGTAAAATTAAAAATCAAATTGATTCACAATCTATAAATACACATTTCAATTCTAAAAACAAACAATGCATTAAGATGATTCGATAATTTATTTTATTTTATCTGCAGAAATTCCTGTTTTTTTGCAAAATGAATTTTAGCGTTTTATTTTATTTTAAATGCGCAAAAGATGGTTGTTCCAGACAGAAGAAATAATTTTTTGTTCTTATAAATTAAATGCTTATTTCAACAAAATTTTGAATTCGTAAATAAAAAAAATTAATTTTCATTTTATACAAAGTAGGGACGTCGTCTATTGATCTAAAAACACAATTATTTTATACATCATATACGCAACGGTTTGAACCTGAGCGTGTCAACCATGAGTTCAGGGTTCGAATATTAACACGTTATCTTTATCTAGGAGGTAACACCTTGATAACTTCTACCTGGAAAGATGATTAGGCTGTGTGACAAAATGGAAAACTTGTAAATCAATTAATAAATATTTTGTAAAAAGAAAAAAGCTATGTCGCCAAAACTATTCAGAAGTCTTCGATGGTTGTTTTAGTCGCAAGACATCAATTATCGACAGTTTTTAATTAACATGCCAGACTATATCGATTTGTAACTTTAATTAACGTTCACTCATTAGAGTCGCTCTCTTGGAAATAAAAAAAATAGCCTTAAGAATTCGTCATCAAAAAGGATTGACTAAACAATACCTATTGTAGACTCCAAAATTTTTCATTTTTTTTTTTTTTGTAAGGAATTATTTGAATACCAAAAAAATATTTTAATTTTCTTCTTTTTCAAATCCATATGCTAAATTGACTAATTTGGCCTGGCATTTATTTATTTATTTTTTACTTGTTATCAACCCTTTGCAGGTTATTTAAAGCCAAAACATATTTTGGATTGTAAGAATAATTTCTTATTCTTTTTCACGGCTTATCAAATATTACTTTTTTTGAGTTATTTTAAAGACGGTCTATATTTTTATATTTAAATTAAATTAATGATTTTTCATATCTTTTAGAATTTATCAACCCCTTCTATATTTTTAAAATATAAAAATTTTTCGGATATTAAGAATAATTTTTTTGATCTTTTTACTGCTTATCAACCCAGTGTGGGCTACTTAAAACCGAAATATATTTTGTATTTTGCGAGTGAATAGTGCATGCACCTTTTTTCTTATATTTTTTATTAAGATAAATATGATTTTTTCAGATACAAGTTCTACTATTTAACCCATAGCTGAAAGTTTTTCTTATATTTTTTTATTGAGATAAAAATGAGTTTTTCAGATACATGTTTCACTATTTAACCCATAGCTGAAAACTTTTCTTATATTTTTTTATTGAGATAAAAATGATTTTTTTAGATACAAGTTCTACTATTTAACCCATAGCTGAAAGTTAGAAGAGATGGACTCATACCTTTCCCAAAAAAAAAATATAAAATGTGAGCAGAATGTAATTAACTTTATTCTGAATTTATAACCCAGTCCTCCTACTTTAGAATTCGAGGCTCTAATCATTTTAATAAAATACGCCTGAAGATCGCGTTCACGCATGAAACAGAATACCAATGCTCTTTGTTGTCTCTGTGTTTTCATTTATATTTAGATTCGCTCTGTCCTTGATATTAATCACTTTTACTAATAATTATAGCATAGCTTAAAACTGTATTATTATCATTAACACACACGCGCGCACACGCACACACACACATACATACATACATACATACATACATATATACATATATATAGATAGATAGATAGATAGATAGATAGATAGATAGATGTGTCAGTCCCATTGTCTTCTCAACTGAGCAATGGGGAGAGGAAAAAGATCATTCAGGCCTACAGCAATGGTGCCAACATTCATATTCTGGCTTCCATCTTCGAAGTCCATTCAAGAACCGTTAAGAGAAAGGGTAATAAGTTTTAAAAAAAGAGGGAACAGTAGAGAGGAAAACTGGATCAGGAGATGACAACAGGAAGAGCAATCATCAATTTAACTTAGAGCTAAAGAGATCAATTAGAAAAGATCCAACTCAGTTCTTAAGACATTAGGCACGTGAGAGAGGCGTTTAACCTATGACAGTCCAAAGAGCAGTGAAAAAAGAATTGAAAATGAAATCGTACGTGAAACCTGTGAGACAACTTGTTACTCCAGGCTAGAAAGAAGGTTAGAGATAACGAAGATTATCTTGAATGAGTTACAAAATGATTATGAATATATATATATATATATATATATATATATATTTTTTTTATTTTACTTTTTATTTCAATACTTCATGAGCTTCCGATCCTTAATTAATGATGAACATGTCATTTTTGTTTATGGTCAAATTTATCACGATTCTTCTGTTAAGCTTGAAGAGTAATTATATTTTCTTATTGCACAAAGTAAAGTCCAATAGTGTTATAAAAGCCACGGAGACTTCCAGTAAGATATCTTTAATCATTTCTAAGATGCAACGGTTCAGATCTTAATCTGACAATTGAACAATTTTGCTGTTACACCCTGTATATAGGAGAAAAAAAAGTCTCTTAATGTACGTGACAAATCCGTCGTATTTATTGCTCAAAGTAAAGCCCAATAGTGTTATAAAAACCTCGGAGACTTCCATTAAGATATGTTTAATCATTTCTAAGATGCAACGGTCCAAATCTAAATCCAACAGTTAGACAATTTTGCTGTTACATGATTTGGACAATTTTGCTGTTACACCCGGTATATGCAAGGTAACCCCCCCCCAAAAAAAATCGACCTCATTTTATCGTCTAACAACATAGCTAATTCTCGCTCAAATGATCCCAAATGTTAACAAAATGTATAAAAACTAAGTTGACTATGTGGATTTATCTCAGTGAGAAACTACCAGGAAGATGGGGAGTGCGTGCTATTGATAATGAAAGTGTGCTGTTGAAGTGACCACCGCGTTCAACTGAGTTGACACCTTGTTTGTTTGGTTTTTGTTTTTTTTTTTTTTTTTTTTTTCTATGGGGCTATATGAAAGGACAGTTTTTTTTTCTCCCCGCTTCCTACAAGTCTACGTGCTGGTTACGATGATAAACTTCATCCGCGTCCTGGGTATGACGATAAACTACATCCGGCAGCAAGGCCTCTCATCAGGAGATTTTGAGAGGCGTGGACCCAGCTCTTAATTGCTGGTATTCCCAGGTCCACCCTGACCCGGAGTGGTAGCACCTGTTAGGGTCCCAGCTATGAGCAAATATTTACCCCCCCCCAAACTGGTGCCAAGACATTATGAAAGTGTAAAAGTAGGTTTTAATACCATCAATATATTTTTGAAAAAAAAAAATATATAAAAATAAAATAAAATATTACCATCAGTACATTCTGGGAACAAAATTATCAGCAATACATTTTTGAAAAAAAAATACCAGAAATATATTTTTGGAGCAAAAGATTTTAACAGAAATACAGTTTTGAAAAAAATATTTTCAGCAAATAAAAATCTTGACGACATTAACTAACCCAGTGAGGTTGATATGCTATAAAACAAAACAAACGAAGCCTACAAACCTATAGGAACTTAAAGAAAGAATAATTGAGGCGCTGGAGAATGTTACGCAAGACATGCTACAGCGTGTTTGGCAGGAGCTTGACTAGCGACTTGACGTGTATCGCGCCACAAATGGTGCGCATATTGAACGCTTATGAAAGCAATTGAAATCGGTTATAAGATCCGCATCCCTTTGAATAACTTGTTCGAATTTTGATCAATAAATCTTTGATACCGATTAAAAAATAAAATTAAAAAATATTTATTTAAACTTTCACATACTTAAGGCATAAAAGACTAAGTCTAAATACTTAGTTATTCATATGCCGAAACAGTTTTTAATATATCCTCTGAAACTGCTGCATTCTGAAGACAAAAATGTCAACGTCTGAATAATTTGTTCATTATCCTCCGAAACAAGTTTATCCCTTAAAACCGACGCTTTCTTTCAGGGCCTATAAATTCTGTAAAGTCAAACATGGATATATATGGTGATTTTCTAAGCGTAACGTAGATGTGGCACAAAGCCGCCAGTGTGGAGCACCCAGGAGAATCGAACTTTACCAGTCAATGGTAATTGATCTTTGCGAGACTAAGTTGCTAACCATTACCGTTACACGACTTCGAAGCGCCCAAATGATTTTCTAAGCAACGCGTAGATATGGCTCAAAGCCGAAAAAATGGGGAGCAAATGTGAGTATCAAACTTACTTACAGAGTCGCAATTGTTTTAGCGAGACAAGCTTGCTAACCATTAACCCACCTCAAGTTGGTTCAAAATGATTTTCTCAGCGTAGCTTAGCTGTGGCTCAAGGGTGAAAGAATGGGGCGCAAGTGTGAGGATCAAACTGAGTCGCAATTGTTCTAGCGAGACAAGCTTGCTAATCATTAAACCAGGCCAAGTTGGCTCAAAATGGTTTTCTAAGCGTAGCTCAGATGTGGCTCATGGCCGAAAAAATGGGGAGCAATTGTTCTTGCCAGACAACCTTGTTAACGATTACACCACTTCAAGTTGGCTCAAAATGATTTTCTAAGCATAGCTGAGATGTGGCTCAAGGCTGAAGGAATGGGGAGCCAGTTTGAAGGTGAAACTGAGTCGCAATTGTTCTAGCGAGACAACATTGCTTAACATTACACCACGTGAAGTTGGCTCAAGATTATTTTTTAAGCTTAGCTTAGATGTGGCTCAAGGCCGAAAGAATGGAGAGCAAGTTTGAGGATCAAATTCAGTACTGAGTTGCAATTGTTCTAGCGATACAATCTTGCTAACAATTACACCACGTCAAGATGGATCAAAATAATTTTCTAAGGGTAGCTTAGAATTGGTTCAAGGCCGAATGTATGGGGCACCCATCGAGAATCGAACTCACTATTCAATCTTATTTGATTTAAAACATGGCTTTATTAGATACGGTAAGCATATCTTTAAAAATAGATCAGCCTATGTATGGCCTGGAACGCAGGTAAAATATGTATGTAAATATAGTTTTCGATTTATGTATGTAACAGAACTTGGAATATTCACGATTCCTACCAAAGTTACAAAAAGATTTCTTTCTATACGGATTGTACAGTTCAAGCCGGGTTTGTGAATGAATCTGTCATCAGACATTATGTTAGTTTCAAATTTACCTGTCGACTCAAGTCGTCTTCTTATAATCCATAAAAAAAAAGAAAAATAATCTTGATTCCACACTGTTTTTGCTTTGACTAGAATAGAATAACGATTCTCAAAGACGGTTTGCCGAAATAAAATCTTTCCTTTCGCACACTATGATCACTTTAGTGGCGGGGTTTGTTATTTTACGCAGGTTCCTTCTTTTTCTTGTATTCAGATCCTTGATTTTACCGATTCGATCTTTTCTTTACAGTCGAGTTAGGCTGTCACATCTTTAGCGACGTCAAAAGCTCTAACGTTTTTATTCTCATAGAAAATTCGTCTTCTAAACCTTTTTGATGTCGGCAAACGTTTCGCGCGATCAAGTATTGAATTTTTAACCGGAAACCCAATCCCAAACAGGAACAAATAATAAACCTCTACTCCTCTTTAAAAAGACGAAGAGGAGTGTGAGCCTGATGATAGGTGAAACTATCTACATTTATTGAATTAAATTCAATTGAATTTAATATATCTATTTATATTATTTACATTTCTCCGATTATTATTCTCATCTTTATTGTCATATTCACGACGTTTCGGCCGTTGTGCGCGCCGGCCTTCTTCAGGATCTGTCTCTAATTATGATATGAGATATTGCAGCTATTTACACTATTTATATTTCTCGAGTTATTTTTCTCATCTTTATTATCATATTAACGACGTTTCGGCCGTTGTGCCCTCCAGCCTTCTTCAGGATATGTCTCTATTTCTGATATAAGGTATTTTAATTATTTACACTACTTACATTATTCCGACAGTTGTCATCATCTTCACTGTCATATTCACGAGGTTTCGACCGTTCTGTTTTCCAGCCTTCTCCAGGATATGTCTCTATTTCTGATATGAGGTATTGCAACTATTTACACTATTTACATTTCTCGGATTATTGTTATCATCTTTATTGTTATATTCATGACGTTTCGACTGTTGTGAGCTCCGGCCATCTTCAGGATATGTCTTTATTTCTGATATGAGGTATTGTAACTATTTACACTATTGAAATTCTTCCGACAGTTGTCCTCGTCTTTATTATCATATTCACGACGTTTCGACCGCTGTGATCTCCGGCCTTATTCAGGATAAGTCCCTATTTCCTATATGAGGTATTGTAACTATTTACACAATTTATATTATTCCGACAGTTGTCCTCATCTTTACTGTCATATTGACGACGTTCCGGCTGTTGTACGCTCCGGCCTTCTTAAGGAACTTTGTATAGCTCTGAGATAAGGTATTATAACTATTTGCACTATTTACATTGTTCGGATTATTGTTGTCATCTTTTTTATTATATTCACGACGTTTCGGCCGTTGTACAGTCTGACCTTCTTCAGGTGATTAAAATTTCGGACCGGACCCTTTACTTCATCCTCTGTGGTAGATTGTTCTAGTTCCACGTGACATGCCTTTTCTGGATGTCTTACTTTCAGTCTTTTCAGTTTATTAATTATTTTTGATAACTCAATTCTCCAAGTTCTTGTTCCCCACAGCTGTGGTCAGGTATCGAACTCGCAAACTCTTTGGGGCAAGTCACTAGATTGCATCAACCAACGATTTATTAAATGTGTTCTGTAGTGCAGAAAAATAGTAAAAACCCCGATGAGGATTGACTTTATATA